TAAAATGACTGGACTAAAAGGTCTTTATAAAATCAAAATTCGACGAAGGAATTCTTCAAAACCTTGTCCCGTTTTAGGGACAATGGACAAAGAATTTTTATGACTTTGTTTGTGTCGTTGGGTCTTTTCGCTCAACCCCAGATGTTCTATTTATAATTTGCCAGGCAGGTAGGCAGGTACTTACAAAATAACACTTCCAGAGTAAACAAGTTTTCAGAAATAATTATTTTATTAGAAATTATTACAATGAAAAAACTTGTATTTGGTGTATTTCTAATTAAGCCGATGTATTTTTTGCTCTAAATATAATCAAGCATTATGAAGGCCACTTTTTAAAGAATACGACGACCCACATCTAATTGATCATATAATCTATAAAAAATGACGAAGAAAGGACGGCCTTTTGACGTCATTAATTGACGTCAGAAGTAAGTCATAAAAATCTCGTCATTTTCACGTGATTTTTTGGACGAATGACGTCGCCGACGAGTTATGACCAAAAACTGACGTGAATTAGAGGACAGTCTGCTGCTTGGGTAGTAGCTTATGCTCGGCAAGTAAAAATATTAATAATGCGAAAAAGTTACTGCACAAATTGCAATTTCCAGCTGCACAAATTTATTTTTGAACTGCATAAAATGTGTAGAAGTGCACATTAATTTACGCCCTGTCTCACCATACTTTTCGCATTTAAGATAGGATATAAATATTGAGAGAAATTTTGAGGTGGTCATAAATTTTTTAGGGAAGGTGAACTTTTGACTAACCATTTACCATGCCTATGATAACTTTAAAACATCTCCAAGATTTGAAAGCATTCGGTTCTGTAGTTCTTGATTAAATCATTAAAATAAATTCCCGCATTCATTAATTTTTTTTAGTCACGCTGTATATGCAAATCCAAAAAATTTGAATGGAATGATAAATCACAAGAATAGGTTTTAAATTGTATAAAATAACATAGTCCTATACGTGTAATTTATGAGCCCGTGTGGAGTTTTTACCCGAAACGTCCAAATTTTTCGAAAAAAAATTAAAATTATTGTATTAAACATTTTCCAATTTAATTTTGAATCTGCAAAACCGAATGCTTTGAAATCTTGCAGACGTTTTAAAGTTATGAAAAGCATGATAAATTTTTAATCAAAAAAATTTTTCTCCCCCCAAAAAATTGATGACGTCACCCTAAAATTTTGCCGAATAAATGTGAAAGGTATGATGAATCTGTACTTGTAATAGATATTTTTTGTATTTGCTTATACAATGTGATTAAAAAAATGAATTAGTCAATTTATTTTATTGATCAAATTAGAAACTACAAAATCGAATGCTTTGAAATCTTGCAAAATATATTTCCTTATGTCCTCCAAAAAATTGATGACGTCAGCTCAAACTTTTGCCGTCTAAATCCTGTGTAAAATGTGCAAAATACGATCAGTCTATATTTGCAATTAATCATTTCATTCATATTTTTTAGGTTTGTGACTTAAAAACATTAGTGAATCAGTCAATTTATTTCATTGTATAAATCAAGAATTGCAAAACTTGCAGATTCAGATTGTACTTTAAAAAGAGAAGTTCTGTCGAAACAATTTTCGAGCAATTTTTTAATTTTGCTTATTCAAATGAATTATAATGAATGAACTGATTAGGGGCAAGTGGTACGAGATGGGACGTAAAAAAACTTTTCTTCATAATTTTGGCAAATTTAGATTTTTTCAAATCATATATTGTTTTACTGTTAGCTAAACGGTGTCGGGTAATGTAATCAACCCCCAAAACTTAAAAAACAAATTTTTTAACGTAAAAAAAAAGTTATACCACTATGTACCATTTGTCCCATAATAAACCACCGGGTGGTATACAGTGGGAAACGACAGTGTATATACTGGGACTATTCAAACGCAACTCATTATGAACAAATCTACTCACACAAAAAGTTTATAAGAATAATATCTATATTTTTAGTAATGTACAAGGAACATATAAGATATAAGTTACAAAAGGTTGTATTGCCTAAGATCTAAATTGAACGAAAGTTGTCGGATCGAACTCTGCGTCGCACCGGACACAAATGGTTTGGGCAATTTTAGAATTATGTTTTCCTTGTCAACGAAGTCTTCGTCATCTTTGTCAGGAAAAACAAATTTAGAACCAAGTAATTTTTTTTTAAATCTTACTTCAAACTCCTCATTTCGTATTGCCTTTACTTGTCCAACGTAGTGCCGAACAGTCTTTTTTGTAGCATATTTAACCAAAATGTAATCTTCTACCAAAACTTCATCTAAATTGTTATTGAAATCTTCTTCTTCTGTAAAACTCTCCATGTCTGTAGAATCATTAGCAAACTCCTATTCATTCACGTCTTCAGAATCTGAACTTTCCTCAAATACCTTCTTCTTTACCTTATTAGGTTGCAACTTCTTCGTTTGTTTTAATAATCTTATTCGATGTTCCTCTTCAATTTTCTTTTTAACTGGTGTATCAGTTAAAATAATTGTTGACTGCGCTTTCTTTCTGCCTTTTCTTGTATTCTTTCTAGTAACTTTCCCAACTTGTCGTTGGGCAGATGATGCTAGTATTTTAGGGGTCTGTGTACAGTTGTAATACCTGTTTCATCACAATTGAAGATTTGTGTTGGTTGAAAATTAAATTTACCCAACACTTCCCGTAAATTGGTAAAAAATTGCCCAATATTATGTTTATTGAAACTAGTCGCTCTACTCAAACTAGTCGCCTCTGGAGTACGAAGTGCAAGATCGGGATTTCGTTTTCGAAAACAGTGAGCCCATTCCACTCCAGCCATTTTATTTTTTTCCCATGATTGTGGCACATTTTTTCCATTTGCTATGGCAAATCTATAGGCCAATTCCCGAGTTGATTTGAGTGTCAAACCATAGCACATTTGCGCAGCTTCAATCAAATATTGTCTTAGAAGAGTTTCTTCCTCCGTAGTAAAAACGCATTTCAAACCATGTTCTCGGGAAAAATTAAATCTCTCCTTGTCTTCATCTTCCAAACTTTTATATTTCGTAATTTTCCTATGAAGAGCAGATTTACTAACTTCATACTGGTCTGCTGCTTGTCGTATAGTCATATTTCTTGAAATACCTCATGGACGGCATTACGTATTTTCTCTCTGCTTTCTCGTAGACGCAATTGACTTTCGAGAAACCTTTTTGCCATACTTCTCCTTGGATATTTGGGCATATTGGACTCCTACCAGCATTTTTTTTTTCAGAGTTATATATGATACAACGCTTAAGTTAAGTATAATTGTCCCACTATATACCAGACTGTCCCAGTAAATACCGTCATGCATAAATGAAAATCAGGTACGATTTTATTAAAGTGATAGGGCTCTTATGAATTGCAACACATGCACTAGCTTAGATTCATGTTTTTGAAGTTATGGCGAAAAATTGCAAGAATTTCATGTATATTGAACAAAAATACGCCCATCAACATGTTTCTCGTAACCACACACAGAACAGTTCTTACCGAAATCAGTTGGTGTATCACAAAAATACTTTTAAATGGCAACCACTGCGTTATCACCCACGTTTACTAGGATGTTGTAGAACTGAATCTTAAAATTCTAGTTGCACTGCTTCGATTAAATTTTGTGTTATACAAGAAATCTCACTATGTACCGCGTCCCACTATGTACCACTTGCCCCTACTTATTTTAAATTTAAAAATATTTACTAAATCAAATAGTCGCAATTTAGGGTATCCTAAATTTGGCAAAAAGATATATTCCATATTAGGGAAACACAAACTAGGAAAAATTTTATCAATATCTGACATTCTTTTGAAAGTTGTAATGCCAGCACGGTTATTTAGGCTACATGCAAAGAGTGAATAACAATGTAGGTACTTGTAAATACTTATGGTTTTCCACTTTAGCAGACACTTTTAAAACTTATTACAAATTTTCGGTATTGCCTAAAATACATTTAGGTAATTTCGAGACATGTTACTTTTCTATATTTAAGATACTGAGATACCCCGTATTAGGAGCTATCGTCATATTAGGTGACTTTCCTGTATGTTACCCATTTTTTAAATAGATGTAAGTATAATCTAGGACATCAAATAATGATGACCGGTTTATTTACGTTAGCAAAATCCAGTAACTTAGAACTCGGTCGTTAAACTTTTGAAAACGCATACAAGACATATTTACGTATATATAATTTAATTATATTGCATCACTCAACGCTAGAAAATGTTAATACTTTAAAGTGTTACTAGTAGTATTCGTTTTATAAATAAATTAAACACCATATATACCCTATAAACAGTACTGCAAAGGTAAAGTAATTATTTGTGCTTGAAATAAACCGTGACCTAATCTCTTTTCATCAAATTTTAGCTAAATGTATCGGTTGCACCTTCTTTTGGAAATTTTAACTGGATTTTCTTTACTTTTGGCAAGCACCGCCATCGCCTATTACAAATGGAAGTACACTTACTGGAAGAAAAAAAATCTACCTTACTTGCAACCGACTATTCCTTTTGGAAACTTACAAAGCCTTGTAACAACAACTGATAGTTTGGGAATGGTACTCAAACGTCTGTACGAAGAATTAAAACGCAAGAATCATCCACATGGAGGCGTATACTTTTTTGCGAGACACATATACATGGTGGTTAATGTAGAAAACATTGACAGAATGTTATCAAAAGATTTTCACCATTTTGTAGATCGTGGACTTTATTACAACGAAAAAGATGATCCAATCAGCGCTCATCTTTTTTGTATTGGTGGGAAAAGGTGGAGGAATTTGAGAGTGCAGTTGAGTGAGACATTCACGTCTGGAAAAATCAAAGCTATGTTTGATGTGTTTACCCACTGTGAAAAAAACCTGCAAGAAATTTTTGAAATGTTACATGAAAAAAAGCAACCAATTGATATCAAAGATGTTCTGTCTTGTTTCACTACTGACGTTATTGGGCGCTGCGCTTTCGGTATGAACTGTGACACGATGAAACTGAAGATTCTCCTCTTAGAACATACGTGAAGAAATTTTTTACCTATTCAATTGGCCGCTTGCTAGTGGCTTTATTTACTATGAACTTTCCAAATGCCGCTAGAAATTTAAGTATTAAAGCGGTACCCAAAGATATATCAAACTTTTTTGATAAACTGTTTAGAAATGTTGTACACGACAGGGAGACAAACAATTACGTTAATGATGATTACATACAAATATTGATAAACATGAAAAACAGCGAACTAGCTAGAGACGAAGGATATGAGCATGATGGTAAAACTGTAACTATTGAAGAACTCACTGCTCAAAGTTTTGTTTTATTTGTGGCTGGTGTTGAAAATGCTTCTATTGCACCAACTTGGGCGCTGTATGAACTTGCCAAAAATCAGGAGATTCAACAGAAAGTCAGAAACGAAATCAATGTCGTACTAGATAAACACGATGGAAAAGTTACGTACGATGCCATTCAAGCTATGAAATATATGAATAAAGTATTATATGGTAAGTGGTGTTTTATTTAGTTTTGTGTACCTACGTGTTGATTAAATTTTAGAGACTTTACGAAAATATCCACCGATTCCTGTTCTAAATAGGCAGTGCGTGAAAGATTATAAAATCCCTGGAGATAGTGTAATCATCGAAAGGGGTACAAGAGTTGTTATTCCAGTACTGGGGATACATTATGACGAAGAGTATTATCCCGATCCCGATAAATTTGATCCCGAGCGTTTCGACGAAAAAAAACTGACAACTAGACATCGTTGCTGCTTTATTCCTTTTGGATTTGGACCTAGAATGTGTCTTGGTATGGCGATTTGTTGAAAAACTTTATTAGTTTGTGTGATGTAATGTTTGCAGGTCTACGATTTGCGATGATACAAGCCAAGGTTGTACTTATGACTTTGTTAAAAAGTTACAATTTTACAGTGAATGAGAAAACTAAAGAACCGATCAAATTTTCAAAAAACAGTATTAGTGTACAAGCAGAAGGTGGTATTTGGTTAGATGTAAAAAAATATTAGCATAAAATTTATCTTGGTTTACTTATTTTAACTCATGATGAAGTGATTTGACAAGCTTTGAAAAATTTGGCGAATCAAGACATCTATTTAATACTTTTTAAGATAGTCAAACTTTTTTGAGCGAACGAGCAAATAAAATTTTTATTATTGTACTGTAGACATTTATCTTCTTAAATTAAATGTAAATTTTAATTCTGAAAATGATATTTTTTTGTGATAAGCCAAAATTTGAAATATTTATTTTTATTTCCCGAGCGTAGCTAAAACTTGAGTATCTTTGAACAAAACAAAGGTGAATATTGTGCCTAGTAAAGTATGATACATTAATGAATGCACTTACACAGAACTTCGTCCCTGGAGCACAGTCGAACAAATAGAGTGTTCGAAAAAGCATAGCATTTAAGTTTGAGCATTTTTTTTTCATTAGATGAAATACATTGAATGAAATTAAGCATTTTCTAATTTTTTATTATTCAAGTTCAAAATATGGGAATACAGTAATTTGCCTTGTCTTTATTTAGTAATTATAAAATAAAAACTATAATAATAATATTTCATTGTGTCTTAATTAATAATTTTACACCTCTGTTTTGAGGAGACAAACTTATTCATCAGTCATCACAAATAGGTTTCTACGTTCTAAGCATGACATTTTTTTGATGTATAAGCATAAAAATTCGAAGTTAAGCATGTACATTGATAATAATAATACAATTGTTCCCGTTGGTTATCCGCTTTAAATATATTTCATATTGTCCCCACGTGTGCGAATCGCGCCCTTTTAAAAGTTGCTCCCTCATGGTGCACGGGCTGTAGGGTGTCATTCACGACACTGCTTCGTATAGAGGTTATCTTAAAACAAAAATCACAAAATCAAATTTTATAATTTTTCAAAGAAACGGGATGTGTTGCATTTTACGTGCAGGGAAGTTCTGTCGAAATAACCTTTGATACATTGCATACGGACAGGCGTTATTTACGGCCCAGCTCAATTCGTTACATGAATATCCAAAATATACCAAATATAACTGAGATCAAGGATGCCACCTTTCAGGCAACATCATGTCGTTTTTTTTACGTGAATAAATGGTCATCAATTACGTCATAGTGACCAAAGATTTCACGTGATCTTGATGTACCAATGACGCTCAAATGTCTCGTCCAGATGACGTCATTTTCTGACGAACTATTGACCTGATGTACTGACGTCTTAGAGTCGTCATTTTGTAACGAACTATTCACGTGATGTACTGACGTCTTAGTGACGGCATTTATTGTCCATTTTAAGACGTTTTTTATATTTTGATTTTTAGAAAAAAATATGCAATAAATAAAACGCTGAAATAATTTTATATTTTTATATTGTTTACCTTAAATAAAATATTATAATTTATTATAATCACCAGGTAAACCCCAAAACAAAATATATATTAATTAAAGTTAAAACAAATTAGTGTAAAAAAATTAAATTTACTACAATTCTGTACAACCAGCAATGAACTTCAATTAACAAATAAAAAAATATGTCAATTAAACAAATTAAAGATAAACCACTAAGAACACAAACAAATGTACATACAGGTAATTTCGAGTATAATTAGTATAAACAAAAAAAAGGATAATATACAATATATAATCAAAAATAAACGTTTCAATAAAATATGCTATTTAAAGAAAAATCAGTTTTAAAAACACAAAGAAATCTATTTAGTAATATTAAAAGAAAACTATAATAAACTATAAATCAGTCTTAAAAACACAAACAAATCTATTTACAAAAAATATAAAAAAACTAGAATAAAGGGAAAAGACAATTGAATCGCATTGTTGAAGTTACTTGATTTGAAAATGCACTGTAAAATTATCTAATTCACGACGACTTGATTGTCCTCAACACACAAAAAAGTACCGTTAAGAATTAATTATGTTTTAACAATCATATTAATAACCTAAGTTTTTTAAGTTTGCCTCAATTTATTGCACTGAAAAGAAAAACCCGTTAGAGTGCATGGATTAATGGAAATGCAATCATTTTTTCGTCTATGGGTAATAGCAAGCATTTGGCTATTATTAAATTTAAGAGATTACAGCTTAAAGCAGAAGACAAATTCTGCACTTTAAAAATGCTAAATTTACTTGAATCTAACGGATAATCGTAAAATGGTTGCTTTGACAAAAACGTATAGCCTATCTCCTATCAGGAAAATCTCTTTGTCAATACTTTTTACAATGAAGCGAAATGTGCCATGTATAGTAAGTTACCAAAAAGTATCGTAGTATTACAGGCATCTACCTGTATATAATATCCAATATTATGTTATGTATGTATATATGAATTCATTGTGTTTTGAAATCTGCTTGTTCTAATAGGCAAAGATAATCTTGTAATTGGTCAAAATTTGTTTAGGTGTGGTCTTGGCGGCAAAACTTCTATTTTTGTTTTCTTTTTCAGTTGTCAGATTTGATGACATTTCCATGTTGGAGATTTTTTCATTTGTTTCCTTTAGCATTTCTTTCGTTTCGCACATGTGTTTTGTATTTGTTTCAAATCTAGAATAAAATTATGTTCATTAGCATTAGTTCATAAAAAATTGCAGTAACATACCTTTTCAATATTTTATGGCGCCTCATTTTCAAAAACAATCACCGTAAGTTCTTCATAATCAGTGGCAGTATCTTCAGTGATTAATGGTGGTCTTTCCAGCTTATCTGAAAAAACTGCTTTTGTTGTCTACGTACAGTTATCAAAAATAACAGAAACACGTAAAAATTAAAATGATTACTTTATTAGATATTAACTTACCTAGTGTAAATAAGTACAACCCATACTGAATGGCAGAAATTTTCACAAACCTGCGTTAAAAATGTAACGGATACACGAGGAAGTTTCGGTGGTTGAGAACCAACTGGAAATATTGGAATGCTCCTCTGTGAAGTGCAATAAACATAAATACCGAAAAAAGGGAAAGTCCGAATGCACGCCCCAAACATCTGATGTATTGTATAGTAAATGCGGAAGTTGAGCATTATTTTTTCATTAGATGAAATAAATTTAATAAAACTAAATATTAATTACTCTCAATTTTTTTTTTGGTAACCATCATCACTTTATAAACGTCTTTATAAAATTAAAATTCGACGAAGGAATTCTTTAAAACCTTGTCGCGTTCGGGACAATGGACAAAGAATTTTTACGACTTTGTTTGTGTCGTAGGGTGTTTTCACTATTTTATACGCTCAATCCCAGATGTTCTATTTATAATTTGACAAGCAGGTACTTACAAAATAACACTTCCAGAATAAACAAGTTTTCAGAAATAATGATTTTATTAGAAATTATTAGAATGAAAAAACTTGTCTTTGGTGTATTTCTAATAAAACCGTTGTATTTTTTGCTCTAAATATAATTAAGCATTATGAAGGCCACTTTTTAAAGACCCACATCTAATTGATCATATAATCTATAAAAAATGAAGAAGAAAGGACGGCCTTTTGACGTCATTAATTGACGTCAGAAGTAAGTCATAAAAATCTCGTCATTATCACGTGATTTTTTGGGCGAATGACGTCGCCGACGAGTTATGACCCAAAAAATTGACGTGAATTAGACGACAGTCTGCTGCTATGAAGCTTTCACATGAAGACGTCCACAGCACTTACCAACTGCTACGCTGGTTTATAAGGTTTTACATCAAGGCAGAAAACTATATAATAATTATTCATGTCATACGAAAAATTCCGATACCTAGGGATAAGTGCCAGACATTACAAAATGTAAATTTATTAAGTATTTTTAATTAACACGCTCTATTACGTTGATATGTACATTGTAATATAGACTCTATACCATGGTAGAAGAAGACATGGTATAGGCATCCGATGTACCAATTTAAAAATGGTCTGCGCATCCATTTGTGACGTTAGGTGGCATCAACGACCTTGTGACTCTTGTGAGCTTCGCTAGGGAAGTCTAGGGAATTTCAGCTTGAGTTGTCATTGCTCTGTCCAATACGTCAATTAGTTGTTGGATAACGAATTGTATTTTAAATTTCGCGCTAATTTCACCCCACTTGACGTCACACCAGATGCGTATGCCTATACCATGTCTTCTTCTACCATGCTCTATACCAAGCTTGCATGCTCTAATCTACTTCATACTTGAGTCTTAAACTACAGTTATCATTATTGGTACATATGAAGGCCAACTAAAAAAGCAAGTGCGCATGGTTGGAGTAGACTTCTTCGTATTAGGCTTCCACATCCTCCACTAATTGGTATTTTGAATTTCTTTTTTAAGTTTGTTGTAATTTTCGTAACATCAAGTAAAAATAAACGATAACTTGTCTCGTCGTTAACAAAACCGACTGTACGAAGGAAGAAACCCGCTTGTTTTCGTGGAATTTTCTCGGTAAACTGGCCTTTGATAGCGATAATTTCCTCATCGTTGATGATCTTAGTTTCTCTTACTTCGTAGCGGTTGATATAACTGAAGTCGTCGGTAACTGTCCAGAACCTGTAACCAAATACTTACATATTTGTTAATGTCGACATGCAGAGTCTTACTTAAGAGTATAAGTTCCGGATTCATTAGTGAATATATTTTCTTGAACAAGGTCCTTATAAGTCGATATTTCTGGACCAGGAAGGCTGCAGTTTTCGAAATTTAGCGGATGAGGGGGTCCAAAGCGTTTGATAGATTCTCGAAGGAAATCCGTGTCTTCGTTATACGAAATTTCTTTGTTGAGTGCATGGTGCGTTAGGATTAAAGAAATGAGGCACACAGATATCTGTAGCAAAATTAAGCAAAAATTTGTATTATAATTGTTTAAGGTATTTACAACTATAGTAAAATATATTTTTTCAATGGTAGCTTCCAAGAATAAAGTTTAATTAAGGAATAATTTTCTCTATAAAATCATCTCTTGCCGTAAAGTTTTCCTAAATTATTATTGTACCTATTTTAAATACAAATTTCATAATTTATTTAAGAAACTGAACTTGCTGAAATAATTGTGTTCCGAAAGTGAGGACAGTTTCTTTAAATAACTTTAGAGCAGTTTTTTTTAATTAACTTTTTCAATATGGTAAAAAAAGTCCTGTTCTAATAAAGCATTTGATTCAAAAAACGTGGAGTTCGACCTTAACCTACTTACATTATTTTAACCTCTACTTATTTAAATGTTAGAGATTTCCTATCCATAAATAATTTTGTTCACTTTATTAGTAGTCAACCGACATTTTAAGTTTATTATAATGAATTAATTTCAGAAATTAATTAACTTTGGACTCTATCTACAAATGGGAGATTGGCGTTGAGTAGTCATTGCAATGCAATGATACACTTTTGTTGAAATTAGTTTTGCAGAGAGGAATGTGCTGTTTCGATTAGAAAGTTTGGTAGGCCATCTTTTAAGTACTGTTTTACTGTTTACTAGTTAATCTAAAAAAAATAACTCTTTTGTTATAATAGGGTATTCATGTTGTTTGGACTTACGGTTTTCCGATATAAACTCACAATTTTCAGTCTGCACATCCACAGCAAACTTTACAAAATTGATATTTACCATCACTTGCATTTTTTTTAACAATTAATAGGTACATAGAGTCACATAACATACGACCATGTTGCCTTTATAGATAATTTTAAATTTAAATTTACACATAAACTTTCGACCATTCAACCTCGTCTGCGTACTACCTGTTTCATGTTGTTGGGAAGTGTTGCTACTACATATACAAGGTCGTATAACAGTGATTATAGTCATTAATGATGAAAACCTAAAAACAGATGACTGAAATTTCCATAAATGTTTCTCAGTAATTGATGACAACTTACCTATAATCCTCACCCTCAGGTTTAATATTCATTTTATTATTATTATTAGTCCTTCTATTTTTTTTTATATTTTGCGTGGTTGCGTTTGGTTTTGTTTTATCTGTTCAATTTATTAATAGTTAGAATGGTTCCCATAGCACAGAAACTTTAAACACCTTGAATTTTTTTTCGTTAAAACAAATTTTTGTACAGCCTGTTCTCTAAGTTCATTGTTTTCGTTCCACACTTGACGAACTAAACATATTTTAACGGTGTATAGATGGATAGAAGGATGAAAGATTTGGAAAACATAGCTACGATACACTTTGGATTAGACTCTCATTAAGTGATTAAATACTTGTGTATTTAATTATTGTAGAGTATAATTTAACCTGATCAAAAAGGATGTTGGTTGCCTACAGTTATAAAAATGTGGTATTTAATTTGTAGTCTGTAGATAGATCTTTCCGAAATTTTCAACATTTCTACGGGAAGTTCTGTCTTCCTTTTTTTCAAAACATCTACGACTTTACGACCTACGCAAAATTTGGTGATTTGTTGTCTTACACAAAGTGCATAAGTCAGAAAGAGAAAAAGTTTGGGTTGGGGTAATTCCACGACATTAACTTATTTAAATAGACATATGGGTGCAGGAAAACCACTTGTCTAATAATGAGTTGACTATATTATTTTTTTCGCCCTTGTTAGGACAACATAAATCATTAAATCGGAGTATTGTTATTTTTAGAATATTTTGTAAATTATTTGGAAAGTATAATTTTTAAATAAAGCTCCTACGCCAGGACTAGACAGGTAATAGTACTGTCAAGGCTAATTATGATTTTCTGATTTTCAGTATTTTTATTTTGACAATTTATTGTACTGTGTTGGGAAAAATATAAAATAATGCATGCATCACATTTCTGAATTCAGAAAAAAATGGAACATTTGATTTCTAGTGCTATTAAAAAAACATGTTAGCCTTGCATCTCTAAAACAAAGGAAGTATAAAATTTGAAAAAATTGCAGAAACATAATATTCCTAGGGACAGCCCAAATTTCGAAAAGATTTAACAAACCGTTCTCGCGATACTCAAATGCTTCCATACTTTTTAGCGATCCTGTATGTAGGTACTTAGTATTTACGTTAGCGACATGCAAATTTTCAATAATACTATTTTTTTGGTCACTTAAGGCTATAGTTTTTATTGTCTTAGTGTGACGGAAAATAAAGTCTCTATTAGTAAATAATTACTGCTAAATGGTAATAGTAGTGTCAGTTGCCTGACTGATGGTTGTAAAAGGAATCATAGTAGGTATTTATTTGACAAGTTCCGTTTTTTGATTTTTACTGAACTATGAAAGTAAGATACTGCTTTTATTAAAAAAAATGTCCTGAAACATCATTAATAGAAAAGACAAATATATGGTTTCGACATAATATAATAAAATCGCAACTTTTTCCAGTTTCTAGTACATAAGAAGTTGTTTATTATCTTATTTAGCCAACTAAAGAAGCGAGTGTACATGGGTCTATTGGACTTCTTCGTTTCCGTCTTCCACATCCTCCACGAATTCGTTCTCTGATTTTCTTTTTCAAGTCTATCGTAATTTTCGTAACATCAAGTAAAAATAAACGATAACTTCTTTCGTCATTGATAAAACCAATTGTACGAAGGAAGAAACCCCCTTGTTTTCGTGGAATTTTCTCGGTAAACTGGCCCTTAACAGTGATAATTTTCTCATTGTTGATGATCTTAGCTTCTCCAACTTCGTAGTGGTTGTTATAGCTGAAATTGTCTGTAACTGTCCACAATCTGTAACCAAATACTTCCATAGTGATAAAGGTTGGCATGTGCAAGGTTCTTTTAGTATGAGTCTTACTTAAGGGTATAATTTCCGGACTCATCGTTAATGAATATATTTTCTTGGACAAGGTTCTTATCAGCAGATATTTCTGGACCAGGAAAACTGCAGTTTTCGTAAGTTAGGGGACGAGGAGGTCCAAAGCGTTTGATGGATTCTTGAAGGAAATCTGTTTCTTCGTTATAGTGAATTTCTTTGTTGAGTGCATGGTGCGTTAGCATTAAAAAAATGACACACAAAGATATCTGCAACAAAATTACGCAAAATTTGACAAATATTTATAACTTTAGTAAAATAATATTTTTTCAATGGTAGGTTGCAAGAATGAAGTTTCATAAGGAAGATTTATTCAACCGAACTTGTCATCATTTTATTGAAATAATTGTGTTTCGAAAGAGAGGGAAATTTTTCAAATGGAATACCCAATGTATTTTTCCATATTCTGACGCTTTTTTAGGTTTTATAATCTCCTTCATTTGTAAAATTCCGATGTGACGTTGACAGGTAATTCCATTTTTTTGAATTTTTTTAGGAAATTAAAGTGTTCCGTGTTACAATATTGTGTGGAGATAAATAAAGGCACGCGTTTTTTTGCCGTATATATATAAAGTTTTAGTATCCAGAGGGTTTATAATAATAAATTTTAATATTTTTCAAACTACGATATTTCAGTTTATTCAAATAGAACACCCTGTATTTTATTACAGCATCTTATTCTGATTTTTGTTCTTTTCCTTAATGGAAATGCTGTTCTATTTTGAGAAAATTTCAAAACCGGGTCAATTTTGATTATTTAAGGAGACATTTTGAAGTTAATAAATTTGACTTTGTCGCAATGCCCTCCTGATTCCCACACTCATCGACTCAAAAACTATAAATGGCAAGTGGAGTTGAGTGATCCTTCATTTAAAAGATGTTTTATCACTAACTGTATCTGGATTCATAAATTATTATTGTAAATGTATTCGTTAATATTTAAAATATAAAAAGAAAACGTTTATTTGTTTTACTGAACAATTGAACATGAATCGGTCATCGAAATAAGTAAATAACTATAGTGAGTAGGTACCTCCTCGTAATTTTTATGTACAATGCCACTTGTGCTGTTAATAGCAGAACATGTTATCTGTTAAAGATTTAATTTCATCTGATTTAATAAACTGAAGATACGAATAGAGGTTTCTCGTAATATGTCCTTGGTTTAGTAAAGCACTAAATTCAAAAAACCTGGTATTCGGCCTCAACCTAGTTACATTGATTTTTGACGTCTAGTTAGAGAAATCCGATCCATAAACAATTTTTTTTGTTTTGTTAGTAGTTAACCCGCATTTTAAGTTTATTATAATGAATTAATTTCAAGAATTAATGAACTTTAAACTTTAAAGTGTCCAAAATGATCTCCACTGATTTCCAAGCAAAGGTAGAGCCTGAATTGTTGTTCTCTCTGCACACTGGGCAAATATGCTAGAATTATAATAATGTATTGATTGACTCTCCCAAATGATTTCTTCCAAAAATTCTAGTCTAGTTAGATATGGCAATCAGTGATTTAAGGTACAAAAAAAATCAAGTGGGGTAAGATCTGTAACTAGCTAGCACTCTAAAAAGTGAACTGGATATATTTTAAAATGAAGAAACATTTCATTCATTAAAATGATTTTTAAGAATCAGAATTGTCGAGTAACTTGTAAAATTTCGTGTTTTTTTGAGAAATTAGAGCAGTAAACTTAAATTTATTATTAAAACCGGAACACTGCAAAAGTAAATTCTTGTTTCAAGAAATTTTGCCTACGTACCTACTAAAAAAGAATAATATGTAATAAGTGATAAGTTAATAATAATATTTTGTACGATATACAACAATGTTACCAATCGTAGTTAAGTTTCCTTTTTTTTATTTTAAACTTTAAAAATAATTATTAATGATCCATTTTTTTAACAAATGTGAAATTTTAAATTAATAGTCTTCAAATAAAAGGTCATTCAACTTCTTTTGGTCGACCTGTCAAAGTCAATTCTAATATTTATCAAAATGTGCTCCAAAAATAAAAATTGACTTGTTTTCGAATTTTTTTCAAAATAAAACAACATCTGAGTTATTTAGGGTAATTCTTTTTATGAAAGTGCATATGACAAGTGATAATAATTAGATTTGCTAATTCACCAACTAATTTTTTTTTGACGTCATAACTATATTTCTCTGTCTATAAATTGTTACATCGAGTAGAGTAATTTCATTGATACATTCTTGTGGAAGTTTGTTTGCGAAGCGAGACGAATGTGAACTTTTCGTAATTTACCTCTAACCGACATAAATAATTTGGCATAGGAATAAACTTAGAGGATTGCTGTTTGGAATACAAATTTTGATACACCACCTTTTCTTTTAAGTACTATTCAGTTTATAGATCTAAAAAAAAAACGAAAATAACTCGTGCTTGGACTTACGGCTTTTCCATATAAACTCACAAATTTCGGTCTGCGCGTCGACAGCAAACTTTACGAAATTGATATTTACCATCACTTGCACTTTTTTTTTTAATAATTAATAGATACACAGAGTCACACACGACGATGTTGTGTTTATGATTTTAAATCTAAATTTACAGATAAACTTTTGACCATTCAACCTCGTCTGCGTACTACCTGTTTCATGCTGCTGAGATTTGTTGCCACTAAATATACAAGGTCGCATAACAGTCATTAATGATGAAAATCTAAAAGCAGTTGATGGAAATTTGCATAAATATTTCTCAGTAGCTGATGGAAACTTATCTATAATCCTCAGGTTTTATCTTCATTTCATTATTATTAGCTTTTATATTTTTATTTCCTGAGCGTAAGCAAAGGAAGTATTGTAATCGAGTCCGACGGCCGATTCTCAACTTTTACATTTTCTCGACCTTTCATGATCCCTCCGTCTGTCCGTCTGTCCGTCTGTTGTCCCGGATTTTTATTAGACAGATAATCTCCGAAAGTACTGGGCCGATTGTTTTCAACTTTGTATTTATATTACGAATATCATGTAGATGGTAACACGCTAACCGAGATTTGTCTAATCATCCCCACCAATAATGTGATAATGGCACTTCAAAATTGTACATGATAAATGGGTTTTAAATTGTATAAAATAACATAGCCCTACACATGTAGTTTATGACTCCGAATTGAGACTTCCAGTTTTTTGGAAAAAAATCAAAATTACGACAAAATTTTGCAATTTAATTTTGAAGCTGCAAAAGCGAATGCTTTGAAATCTTGCCGATGGTTTACAGTTATGATAAGCTTGATCAATTTTTAATCAAAATATACAGCGTGTTATTGAAAGGTACGGATAAAATAAAATCGGCAATTGGTCTCATTGTATGGGTGCTAAAATTAAAAAAAAGTTCAGGTTTCTCCTTTTAGAGATAAAAATTATTAAAATTTATGCCCAAATTCGTTGTACGCCCCTGATAAAAAGGTCATCTTCCGTTTCTATAGCAACTAAAGGGTCTCTTATTTTTTTATTAGTGTTACAGTTGCTAGGATTTACTAAAATAAATTAATTTTACCTATTTATCCTTTGGTAGCGTCTAAAACGTTTGGATACTGGTTAATTTTCCCCTTATAATTTTGATAACACAAAATAAGTTTTTCAGGATTCTTAGACTTCGCGAAGAACTGTCAATTTTGTTGTACGTATCTTTCAATAACACCCTGTATTTACTTATCCCCTCGAAAAAATTGATGACGCTACCCCAAAATTTTGCTGAAAAAATGCTTAAATGTGTAAGGTATGATGAGTCTATACTTGTGATTTATTACTGCATTAATATTTTTTTAGAATTGCTTATTAATGACTGAGTCAATTTATTTTATTCATTAAATCAGTAACGGCTCATTCGATTTTCCCAGAAAATTTTGGGAATACAATACAGTTATTTTTAGTATTACACTGCACCAATCTAAGGTGATATATGTACGTGTCCTTGCAAAAATGTTGATAACGTCATCACAAAATTCTGTAAAGAAAAAACTCAACTAGAATATGTTTCATTGTACGTCAGGAGCGGGGGAAGTTTTGTCGAAACAACTTTCGACCAATTTTTACTTCCCGAGCGTAAGCAAAGGAAGTATTGTAATCGAGTCCGTCGGCCGACTCTCTACTTTTACGTTTTCTCGATCTTTCATGACCCCTAGAAGACGTCTGTCTGTCCGTCTGTCTGTCCGTCTGTCCGTCTGTCTGCCGTCCCGGATTTTTATTAGACAGATAATCTCCGAAAGTACTGGACCGATTGTTACAAAATTTTGTACTTATACTTATTAGGAATATCATGTAGATGGTAAAACGCTAACCAAAATTTGTCTAATCATCCCCACCACTAATACAATGACGTCACTTCAAAATTGTACATAGTAAATGGGTCTTAATTTGTATAAAATAACATAGTCCTACACATGTCGTTTACGACTGCGAATTGAGTTTTTACCCGAAAAAAAAAATCAAAATTATAAAACAACATTTTCCAATTTAATTTTGAATCTGCTAACCCGAATGTTTTGAAATGTTGCAAATGTTTTAAGGCTCTAAAGAACATCATAAATCTTTAGTCAAAATATATTTGGTTATCCCCTCCAAAAACTTGATGACGTCAGCTCAAAAGTTTGCTGAATAAATCCTATCTAAAATGTACAAAATATGATGCGTCTGTACTTGTGATATATCACTCCATTCATATTTTTTGGATTTGCATATACAGGGTGACTCAAAAAAATTAATGAATGCGCAAAATTTATTTTATTGATTTACTCAGGAACTACAAAACCGAATGTTTTGAAATCTTGAAGATGTTTTAAAATTATCATAGGCATGGTAAATTTTTGATCAAAATGTATTTGGTCGTCCCCCCTAAAAAAATTATGACGTCACCACAAAATTTTGCTGAGTAAATCCTATCTAAAATGTACAAAATATGGTGAGTCTCTTCTTGTGATTTATCATTCCATTCAAATTTTTTCGATTTGCATATACAGGGTGACTGAAAAAAATTAATGAATGCTTCAATTTATTTTATTGATTAAATCAGGAATTACAGAACCGAATGCTGTGAAATCTTGAAGATGTTTTAAAGTTATCATAAGCATGGTAAATTTTTTATCAAAATTTATTTGCTCATCCCTCCTAAAAAAATTGATGACGTCACCCTAAAATTTGGTGAATAAATCCCATCTAAAATGTTAAAAATATGATGAGTCTGTACTTGTGATTTATCAGTCCATTCATATTTTACTTCCCGAGCGTAAGCAAAGGAAGTATTGTAATCGAGTCCGTCGGCCGACTCTCTACTTTTACGTTTTCTCGATCTTTCATGACCCCTAGAAGACGAAGAAATAGGTCTCCCATTTCCGTCTGTCTGATTTTTATTAGACAGATAATCTCCGAAAGTACTCGACCGATTGTTGTGAAATTTTGTACTTATATTAAGAATATCATGTAGATGGTAAAACGCTAACCAAAATTTGTCTAATCATCCCCACCACTAATGCGATGACGTCACTTTAAAATTGTACATAGTAAATGGGTTTTCAATTGTATAAAATAACATAGTCCTACACATGTAGTTTACAACTCTGAATCGACTTTTCACCCGAAACGTCCAGATTTTTGGAAAAAAAAAATTATAAAACAACATTTTGAAATTTAATTTTTAATCTGCTAACCAGAATGCTTTGAAATGTTGCAGATGTTTTAAGGCTATAAAGAGCATCATAAATCTTTAGTCAAAAAATATTTGCTTATCCCCTCCAAAAACTTGATGACGTCAGCTCAAAAGTTTGTGGAATAAATCATATCTAAAATGTACAAAATATGATGAGTCTGTACTTGTGATCTATCACTCCATTCATATTTTTTGGATTTGCATATACAGGGTGACTCAAAAAAATTAATGAATGCGTAAATATATTTTATTGATTTAATCAGGAACTACAAAACGGAATGCTCTGACATCTTGCAGATGTTTTAAGGTTATAAAGAGCATAATAAATGTTTAGTCAAAATATATTTGCTTATGCCCTCCAAAAACTTGATGACGTCAGCTCGAAAATTTGCCGAATAAATCATATCTAAAATGTACAAAATATGATCAGTCTGTACTTGTGATCTATCACTCCATTCATATTTTTTGGATTTGCATATATGTACAATTATACAGGGTGATTCAAGAAAATAAATGAAAGCGTAAATTTATTTTACTGATTTACTCAGGAACTACAAAACTGAATGCTTTGAAATCTTGCAGATGTTTTAAGGTTATAAAGAGCATAATAAATTTTTAGTCAAAATATATTTGGTTATCTTCTACAAAAAACTGATGACGTCAGCTCAAAAGTTTGCCGAATAAATCGTATCTAAAATGTACAAAATATGATGAGTCTGTACTTGTGATTTATCATTCCATTCATATTTTTGGATTTGCGTATGCAGGGTGACTCAAAAAAATTAATGAAGGCGTGAATTTATTTTATCGATTTAATCAGGAATTACAAACCCGAATGCTTTGAAATCTTGGGAATATTTTAAATTTATTATAAGCATGGTAAACTTTTGTTCAAAATGTATTTGTTCATCCCTCCTAAAAAAATTGATGACGTCACCCTTAAATTTTGCTGAATAAATCCTATCTAAAATGCAAAAAACATGATGAGTTTGTACTTGTGATTTATCATTCCATTCATATTTTTTAGATTTTGTTAAGAGGTGGTTCAAAAAATTAATGAAGTCAATTTATTTTATTGATTAAATTAAAGGCAACACTTATTATTAGTATTAGACCCCAACCAACCCAATTTGGTAGATACAAAATTTGTCAAAGGAAAAACTCTGATGTAACATAAGGGTAGCACGCTTATTTACATCGACTTTAACATTACAGACCTGCATTTGTTTTATGCGCTCACTTGGTTCCGCGAATGTGAAATAGACATGTTTATAATCAACCAATTGTGAATTTCACGGTCAAGAATTAAAATAAAACCCAATGTTTTATATAATAAACGGAAGTCGAAGCAATAAAACCGATGGTCGTTTTGTTTACAGTTTCTCTGTTTGACTCTCACGTATGCTGTTACGCTTGTCATCTTAAATTAAGAATGTTTATACATAAACGATTTTCAGTTGCCTTTCATATTACTAGACAGCGGATTTTTGTCGGGCTACGTCACGTTTAGTCGGTACTAATTCCATAAATATAATTAACGATTTATTAATCAAACGGCTAAGTAAATGAGAACGGGAATTAACAGCAGAGTGCAACGAAACAGCGTTATTCTAATCTCAAATAAACGAAGTGCAGTCCGCAACCGCAATGAATTCGCATCCCGTACGAGCCGTACCGAGTTTGGCCTTGCCTAGCCCGACAGAAATCCGCTCTCTAGATATTACACACCGACGCCGTATACGTGAGTAAATTGTTTCGTTATTTTATTGATTATAAGAAATCAATATTCAAAACGACCCAATTCATTTTCCCGAAAATTTGGGAATACAATAATTTTATTCTTAGTATTACACTACATCTATCCCAACTGATATACGTGTCCTTGCAAAAATGTTGATGACGTCATCACAATTTTTTTTTAAATTCCCACTACAAAAATGTAATGAGAAAAAAAACACAATAGGCATGCAGTCGTCAAGTTTCCGACAGCGAGGGAAGTACTGTCTAAACTCTTTA